CCCTTCCGATTCTCTCCCTGTACCACAGCGGGGGGGGAGTGAGTGAGTGAGTGGCTGCATGGTATTTGGCTGCCTGCCAAGTTAAACCACGACACCCTATTTCTAATGAAAGCTTTTCAGTTTTACTCCAACAAGAATGTCCAATAACTTTATTTTTAAAGTGAAAATCTTAAGTCTTGGTTCAAATATCAAACTGCATGTACATATATTCATACCCCAGAGGCACTTCAGGTTGTTGACTGGAAGTCTTTGCAGCAGTTACTGCCCTCTTGCTTCATGGGCACAGTATCCAACAAACACAGGTTCAGCCGCTATGCCACGGCTGTTAAAATAAAGTGGAAGGTATATGATTATAATCAAACAACTGGCTGGCTGTGTAGGCAGGAAGAAAGATACTGGCACTCTATCTTAATCTTTGTGTAAACAAAACTACTTCCAAGAAATAACAGATGGCCTATTTAGGGAGTGAAAAAGGGCCCTGCTCTACTGTTGATTATACTTCAGTTAAGTACAGTTTTCTGTTTAAATCAGATGTACCAGGCTATTAGAAAACAGGTTGAAAAGCTTAAATTCAGGGGCTAGTTGTCTCTATGTTCTGCAAAATCTATTGCTTTTATTAAAGAGAAGTCATAAGAAAGTAAAAATAGGAATCAGTTGACAGTTGCACACTCCCCTTGCCCCCAACTCCAATGTTTCCTTCATATGCAGCTCTAATTATGTCATTTTCATTCGTTTGGGGACCCAGTTTTAGTAAACAGGATTTTTTCCAGCTATGCTATCATAAATTATTCAGTTCTTATACAGCTTTAAAAACAAAGAAACAAAAACCCCCCTGTAGCTTATGATGGTGCAGTAAGATAGTATAAAAAGATGTTTCAGAGTTAAAGTAATTGTAGTTAAAATACTGCTTCTTGGATATTCAAGAGCTAGATAGTACTGCTACAGTGATTTGTAGGATAATATATACTGGTGTTTAAATTGCACTTAAGAGCTGCAATGGAAGAAACTGAATAATGAAATAGCTCAGCTGAACGATTGCTTGCCCTTAAGCAAGGCCTACTCTTAGTAAAAGACAGGGTTGTCTCTGGAATATACACCGCCCTTTTTGTTTCCCGTCTCCCATCACTATTTCTCTGCAATTTGGGCTGCTGTATCCTACAGGAAGCTGAGTTTAGATCTGAATAGCAGCTGCTGCTTTCATGGTACTATTTCAACAGCAGTGGCCTTGGCCTTGGATAGGCAGAGCTATCATTCCTCCAGTGACCGTGATCTAGCTGCTACAAAGTTCTGCCTACCCATTCTCTCACTCCCTGATACCCAGCTGCAGAGCAAGCCAGAGCTGTTCATTCTACTTGGAAAGGCTCCTTGGCCTACTACAACTGCCATGGTCTGTATATACCATGTATAAAAATGTTAGAAGGGACATTGTCCTTTGTCCACGCTCTAAGACTTTACAACAGCCTGACTGATTAAATCAGTGCTTTGAGTTCACACAATGCTAAGGAAGACCTGTATACACTAAAGACAACAGAACTGTAGCTCCAAGGAATGCTCATTTCATCAGTGGAAAGGGAATGGTTTCCTCTAGTGTTTTTCTGGTTCAAAGCCTATATAAAAGGAATTGTTTTCAAGAGGACACATCCTTTGTCTATTTATAACAGGAATTGTCCACCGTAAGTTTATATGCCAGCAAAACACTTTTAGTACCAGGAAGTAGTTTAAGGAGAAAGTGTGCAACAAGTACAGGGAGTAATCCTGAGTCTGCCCCTGCATTCTGCATCTCTCATGCTAGCACTACCAGAGCAGCTGCAGTCATCTGGATCAACTCCCTATACAGCAATACAAGTGCCAGCGTTAAGGAAGACGATGGAGATGCAGCAATAGTTAACCAGGTCCAGGAATAGCGTGGCTTAGTTCACACTAATCCTAGAAGTACAGCCACTGTACACTTCACTATTCAGTTGTATCAGTGTTTTCTCAAAGCCCCATCAAGAGATGCACCATCCTGTTAAGTGATAGGACGTAAGTTTTTAAAGCCCTTTAATCTTGTTTTTGATATGTATTTGTTAACTTTCTCTTAATGTATCTATTTTTCTCATGACTGAGGGAGCTAACACAATTTACATATAGCTATTTTCCTACAGCATTATTTTAAGCCAGCTTGAAATAAGCCCAGGAAGTCAAAACTTACAAGTCTTTCAGTCACTCTTAACTTGATTAAAGAGCTAGTTTAGACTGTAAGCTAAAAGTGAGTGATTCTGACAGATAATCATGCTAAGAATAGTTCGCTCAAGCTCCCCTCTCATGCAAACAGCTCCATTTGATTGCCTGCTGCATTTCTTTAATTATTATTTATAATAAACAACAACTTTTACAAAAAGTCTGCTTTTTCTCCTGTCTATGTACTCCTCTCACATACCCTTTAATATCCTTTTTGTTTGAATTAAGTCAATCATGATGTCATTTTTTCCTTTAGAGGAAAGAGAGACATTGATGAGTTCTAGTATTTCACTGAAGAAAGTTAATGAGTTCTGAAAATGTTAGCTGCATATCTGTCTAGAACTCCTGTCTTAGTGTATCTGTTCTTCCTCTTCTGTGGATACAAAAACACATGGCATGACATTTACACAGTCAAATTAGACTGCTAGTTCTCCTTCCTTCACTTCCAGGCCAGCAGTTTGGGCCTGTACTTGAACTCCAGTGGTTGTAAGGCATGAGAACCAAGCTTTACTATAGCTATTAATCTTACCGGAGCATGCGGCATCGATGATTAGTCAGTCTTTTATAGGCATCCTGCAAGTTGGTCACATTCATGCTGCTCCAAAGTCTTTCCCCTACAGCACTTGCTCGAGGCCTGTAAAGATATACTGAGTTTTAGAGTAGGTATGGTCTATAACCAAGAATGGATTAAAATTTTTAATACCAGGTCTTATATATCCAGAAGCATCAATTTTATAGCTGCTCAGGGTCAGCAGGTTCAGCACTGTTACCACTAACATACAGTCCGGTTGGATTAATTAATGCTCCTTGTAGCTGACTTTCTAAAATCTAACGATAAAGCAGTTCATACCATAATCTTGGTGTGAGGTTAGTTGCATCCACAAATTCCCCCCACAGGCAGGCTTCTCCACCTATTAAAAGCTTTTTCTGCTTTTCAGATCCTAGGAATTCAAAGCAGAAAGTTAGAATTTCTATTTGCCCAGAAGATGGGCATATATCAACAATTTCATTTTCCAATACTGAGAGAGAGATTGATGTTGTTTCATAGAATCATTAAGGCTGGAGAAGACC